ACTTCACATCTAAATGGTAAATTTTCCAACCCAATTTTGCTGCTAAGGCTACCAAAAGCCTTATTGTATCATGTCTCGCCACCGGAGCAAAAGTGTCTGAAAAATCAACACCTTGTTGTTGTGAATAGCCTTTAACAACCAACCTTGCTTTGAGTTTGTTTATAGAACCATCTGGATTGAGTTTGGTCCTATAAACCCATTTGACTCCAATCACCTTTTGATTGCTTGGTCTATCAACAAGCTTCCAGGTTTCATTTTTCTCTATCATGTTCATCTCCTCCTTCATGGCAGGCCTCCATCCATCTACTTTTGCTGCTTCAGCGTAACTTGTAGGTTCTAGTGCAGCCACATTGCATCTTTCATAAATTTCTTCTAAAGTTCTGGTGCCTCTAACTGGAAATTCAGGATCACTATCTGAATTTTCAGCTTGTTCTTGGAGAATAGTACCCCAAGTTTGAGTTTTGTTAGAGGTTTGAACTTCATTCTTCTCCCACTGCCATTTTGCAAATTCATCAAACTTCACATTTCGGCTCACAAAAATCTTTTCAGATTTTACATTGTAGATTCTATAGCCTTTGGAGTTGCTGCTATACCCCAAGAAGATTCCAACTTCAGCCTTTTGATCTAGTTTATCTCTTTTCACTTCTGGTACAAGAGCATAGCACACACAACCAAATACTCTGAGGTGCTCAACTGATGGCTTCACTCCATGCCATGCTTCAAATGGAGTTTTTCCTTCCAAAGCTCTTGTAGGAAACATATTCAGCAAATATACTAAGGTATTGACAGCCTCGGCCCAAAACTTCTTAGGAAGATCCTTCTCAAATAGAAGACACCTGGACATCTTCCATAATTGTTCTATTTTTCCTTTCACTCACTCCATTTTGTTGAGGAGTGTAAGGAACAGTAAGCTGGTGCTCTATTCCAGCTTGTTCACAAAACTTATCGAACTCCCTAGAAGTATACTCAGTTCCATTGTCGGACCTTAGCTTTTTAATTTTACAACCAACTTGCTTTTCAACAAAAGACTTGAACTTTTGAAATGCAGCAAACACTTCAGATTTTTGCTTCAAGAAAAACACCCAACACATTCTTGAAAAATCATCGATGAACAATAGAAAATATCGGCTGCCATTTAAAGATGGTGTGCTCATAGCACCACACACGTCAGTGTGTACAAGTTGTAGTTTTTCAGAGGCTGTCCAAGTACTTTTCAATGGAAATGGCAGCTTACTTTGTTTGCCAAATTGACAAACATCACAAACACCAGCTTTGTCATGAATGGCAGGCAAATTATAAACCAGCTCATTTGAATGCATATGCTTTAATGTTGAGTAATTAAAATGGCCTAGCCTTTTGTGCCACAAAATGGAATCATCAACAACACTGGGGTAAGCATGCATAACAGTTCGTTTCCATTCAATCGGAAAACTTTTATCTAACATCTTGACAGCCAATAATTCACAACCAGAGGGATCAAATATGATGCATGACTTATCTTTGAAATGCAAAGCATAATGTTTTTCAAGAAGCTGTCCTACACTCAACAAACTTTGGCTAATTTCAGGTACAAATAAAACATCAGAAATTAGTTTTGTACCTGAGGGAGTCTCAACAGCAACAACTCCTTTTCCCTTGACACCAACATATTGTCCATTTCCGACCTTTACTCTGGAGATGTAGGACTTGTCGAGCTCCTTGAAAGTGACAGCATTATGAGTCATGTGGTTGGCGCAACCACTATCAATTAGCCAAGCTTCTTTGTTGTTGTTTGTTTGCATAACATGTAGCAACAACAAGTTGTTCTTCACTTTCTTCTTGTTTTTCAGCAACTTGAGCTTGTTGTCCCTGCTGGTTTGCTTTGTTTTTGCAAACTTTTTCAACATGGCCAAGCTCATTACATGCTCTACACTTCGCTGTCGGATTGTACCAACAATAATTTGCGGTGTGAGACCTCCTTTTGCAATGAGGACAAGGTGGATTCCTTCCTCTTTTGCCTCCACCTTTTTGGCCACCTCCATATTTTTCCTTTTTATCTCTTCTTTCTCCAGATTGCTTCCTTCCCCAACTGCTGCTTGCTTGTTTCTCCTTAAGCTTTGCTTGGAAAGCTCCCTCGGTTGATTCTTCAAGCCTGATAGCCCTTCTTTGCTCCAAGGCTTGAAGCGCATTTACAACTTCTGTCAAAGTCAGTTGAGAAAGATCCTTTGAGTCTTCAAGAGAGGCGATTTTTGACTCAAACCTCTCAGGAACACTCACAAGCACCTTCTCAACAATTCTTTTATCTGGTAGTTCTTCACCAAGCAGCCTTATTTGATTTACAATTTTCATGAGTTTGTCAATATACTCTTTGACTGTCTCTGAATCTTTCATCATTAAAACTTGAAATTCCCTCAACAAATTGAGCACTTGCATCTGCCTCGTTCTGTCACTTCCCTGAAATTCTTCTTTGAGTTTGTCCCATGCTTCTTTGGCCGTTTCACAAGCCATTACTCTTGTGAAAATCACATCTGACACGGCTGAATGGATGCAGGACAAGGCTTTGAATTTTTTTGCAACCTCTTCACTATGATGCTTCATTTGAGCAATTGTTGGATTTGCTCTCAAGGCGGGTGGATCTCTGCCAGTTTCTACCACCTCCCACAAATCAAATGCTCTCAAGTATGCTTTCATTTTAATTGCCCAAATTGGGTAGTTTTCTCCTGTGAATATTGTAGGTGAGGGAGTATTAAAACTGCTTGAAGCCATGAGTGGGTTCTTTAGTGTTTAAGGATTAAACGAAAGGAAGCCTTGCTGGTTTTCTCTCAACTCTCACAACCCTTAAAGATCAAAAGAGCCCTGATACCATGTTAGATTATCAGAAACTAAGGCTGGAAATTATAGAGAACAAAAGGAAGTGAGGCTAGAAAAAACACACTGATTTCATTCATAGTTCTGATATATATATATTACAACATTTTAGACAAAATATCCAGCATATCTTGGTTTTGGTTGGACATACTTCCACAAAATAAGGAGCTTCACAACTTTATAACTAAACTTACTAACTATTACTGACATCAACATATAATATTCAACACCTAGACTATCTAGAAAAATCTCATACTCTAACAGGAAGTAACCTACTCCAAATCTTTTTGGATTTTTCACAATCCCAAAGAGTATGGATAATAGTTTCCCTTCCCTGCAAACATCTTGCACAAATAGTATTAACCTCAATACCTCTTTGAGCAAGATTATCACAAACAACAATTCCATTCCAGATAGAAAGCCAGATAAAAAACTTAATTTTCGGGAGGGTGGGAATTCTCCATATCCATTTAAACCCAGTTCCAATAGAATCCCCTCTCATTATATTCCTGGCCAAATTATAAGCTGAAGCATAAGTGAACTTGCCATCTTGTGTAAGCTTCCAACAGATTGAGTCCATTTTTCCTTGTTGGAAAAATATGGGCATAGCTCTCAATTTATCAATAATAAAGTTAGGAAGTTCCAAACTTCCCAAATTTTGAATCCAATCTTCCCTTCTATTACACACCTCCTGAACAGTAAGATTATACTCATTTTGAAGCAGAGGTCCATGACACAATGTGTAAAGAGGTCCCATACCTGTCCAATCTTCAGTCCAGAATTTAGTATCAGTTCCATCACCAATAATTCTCCTCAATCCATTAGCAAAAACATATTGTCCTTTTTTCATACTATTCCAAGTTTCGGAACAGTTTTTCCTTTCATGGCTATTGCAGTATCTACTGATCAGAACTTGAGCCCATAAGCTGTCTCTTTCGGTCACTAATCTCCATGTCAGCTTTGCCATAGCAGCATCATTTTTTAGACCAGCTTCACGAACTCCAAGCCCTCCTTCTTTAGCGAGAGTAATTCTATTCCAACTGATCAAGTTAAGTTTCTTTTTATCAATAGAGTCCCAAAGCAAATCTCTATTCACTCGATCAATTTCATTACAAATGTTACTAGGAAGTCTTGTACCTTGCATGTAATAGCTTGGGATAGCAGAAAGAGTAGATTTTACTAGAACGGCTCGACCAGCCATAGACAAGTGTCTTGCCTTCCATGCTTGAAGTTTGCCATGCATTTTTTCAATAATGAATCTGTACTGTGTGGTCCTTCTTCTCATGGAGTCCATGGGGAAGCCAAGATAAGTGCCAAAATAATCAGAAGCATTAATATTTAAAGTTTGGCAAATATCTTGCTTCATAGTTTCCGCAACATTTCGTGAGAAGAAAATCTTTGATTTAACAAAGTTAATACATTGCCCTGAAATCTGACAGAACTTTTGGAGCACCTCCTTCATAGTTAAAGCTGTAGTAGAATCTGCCCTCCCCATTAAAATGATGTCATCAGCAAAGCAAAGATGTGAAAGCCGAGGTCCACTTCTTCCCAGTTTAATCTGCTTCCAATGGCCTTCAGCACAACTCTTATTAATCATAATAGACAAATATTCAATGCAGAGAATAAAAAGGTATGGCGACAAGGGGTCCCCTTGTCTCAAACCTCTAGTAGGAATAATCTTCTCAGACCTCTCACCATTCATTAAAATAGATAAAGATGAAGTAGCAACACATGACATGATCAAATTTATCCAACTATCAGGAAATTGAAAGAAATAAAGAACTTTTCGAATAAAATCCCATTCAAGGCGATCATACGCCTTATCAAGATCAAGTTTCACCAATATGAGCCCTATTTGACCCTGTTTTCTCTTGAAATAATGCAAAGTCTCCTTAACCACAACAACATTATCAACAGCTTTCCTCCCTGGAACAAAGCTCGCCTGGCAAGGGCTTATAAGGTTAGGAAGATATCGTCTGATTCTATTCACCAAGATTTTTATGATAATTTTATAACTAGTATTGCATAAACTAATGGGTCGCAATTAAGTTATGATTTCAGGGTGCTGTACTTTTGGCACAAGACAAATAAGAGTCTCATTCAAACTTTCTGGAATGACGCCAGTTTTAAAAACTTCCTGGACCAAATTTACAACAGAGCTGCCAACAATATTCCACTTTTTCTGGTAGAAAACAGGATGTAAGCCGTCTGGTCCAGGAGCTTTTAAAGGTTCAAATCCTTTAAGAGCTTGAAAGACTTCCTCTTGAGATGGGATTTCAACCAAAGCAGAGATCTCTCTTAGAGAAATAGCAGGATGATAGTCAATGTCCAACTTCATGTCCCTTGTGGATTATATCTTAGAAGTGGTAAAAAGATTACCAAAATGATTGGTGATCATCTGGCTTAAAGATTCTTTATCAGTGTACTAGTTACCCACAGTATCTTGAATAGCCCACAATCTATTTTTTCTTCTTCTAATAATTGTGGATAGATGATAAAAGCGGGTATTTCTATCACCATCATTTATCCACTCAACTCTTGATTTTAAAAACCAAATTTCCTCTTCCAATTTCAACAGGTGCTGATATTCTTTACTTAGAGAGCTTTCAAGCTGTTGTAAAAAAACTGAATCATGGAATTCCAAAGCTTTTTGTGCTCCTCTAATTCTTGCCAATAATCTTCTTTTCTTTTGGAACACATTACCAAACTCATTTTTATTCCACACAGTCACCATTCTTTTAAATAAAGGAATAGCTTCCAACAGAGAATTGGTATTGTTCCAAGCTTCTTCCACAACTTTCTCAAATCCAAGATGTGAGAACCAAATAGTCTCAAATCTAAAAGGTTTCATGGAACTATTAATGCAGAAAGGACTCGTATCTAAGAGAATGGGGGCATGATCAGATTTAACACGAGCTAAATGAGTAACATGACAATCTGGATATTGCAATTTCCATGATGGATTGCCCCAACATCTATCAAGTCTCTCCCGTATTATCATCCCATCATTCCTCTTCCTTATCCATGTAAATCTCGGCCCAGTAAAACCCAAATCAAGCATATTACAGCTTTCCATGCACTGCTTAAATCTATTAGCTCTTCTCCAATTTATAGGATTCCCTCCCATCTTATCTCCTTGACTTATAAGTTCATTAAAATCACCCATGATAAGCCATGGAAGCTGGTGGAGGGGTGCAATAGTTTCTAATTCTGTCCAAAGACAACATCTATTTTGATAACAAGTACTAGCATAAATGGCTGAAAGAAAAAAAGTAAAAGGAGAATCATGAGAAAGAACCTTAATAAGTGCATGCACAACTTGATTAGCGTGAGGGAGGATCTCCACGGACAACTCCTCTGTCTTCCAAAGGACCCAAATACCACCAGAGAATCCTTTAGCATCAACCCGATAAACACCTTCATAACCAAGAGAGGTACTCACTCGTTGAGCTTGCTCCCCAAAGATACGGGTTTCAACCAAAATAACCACTAATGGGTTATGCAATTGGACAATATCCTTAAAGAATTGGCGAAAACGAGGGCTACTTGCCCCCTGTACGTTCCATTGAAGAATTTTCATTGCTGTAATAAAAAGTTTAGGCCCCAATAGCCTTGGGCTCATCTGCATTCGACTCGCCTAATCCTTGTGCACCAACAAAGGTTGGGCATGTACTTGTGGGACTAGTAGAGACATGTATTTCAATGTTCCCTCCAATCCTAACATGATGGCTTCCATCAGTATACAAACATTCTGAATTTCCTCCCTCATGATTAAACTTTGCGTCAACGTTTCCCATGCACATAATGGTGTCCACTTGATTGTGGACAACTGTATTGGTCCATTGGTTAGTTGAGGGAGGAGGGTTGCCCACACATTCTCCTGATACTAGTGAGCTATTTTCCAGTTGGGATATTCCCGATCTAGAATCAACTTCAAGCATGTCGCATGCTCCACTAGATTGATCTCTTCTACAAGAAAGATCACCTGGTTCAAGGCTTCTATGATCTTGTTCAGTCACCAATAATGTTTCGTTATTGGCCATTCGAATAGCCTCTCGATTGCTTCTGTCATCAGAATTATCCTGTCCTCCTTGAAGAGAACCACCTTGGTTATTTCCACCATTTTTCACCATTGCAGTTTGCTTCATAGATTGGGAGCTTATCTTGTAAACGAAAACTTTTTTTCTATCTTGTGAAGTGGGCTTTTGAGATGGGTCTTTTGAATTGCCCTCACCTGCAACAAATTTAAACTGAAACTCTGAAGTTTCTTTAATAGTTTGCTGATTTGAAACATTAGTAGGTTGTTCACAAAAAATTTGATCAGAAATTGGTGTAATTGCTACACTAGTAGCCTTCGATGCAACTTTACTACTTTCCCCCTTTTCAAAGGAGCTTTTACCATGCTGAACTATAGCTTTACCTTTTTCTTGTTTATCTAGGACTAATTTACTTTTTCCAGACTTGTTTCTCCTTCTTGTGACAACCATCCATGGGCCATATGGTGAGTCATCTTTCGGAGAAGGAATCTCCATGGGTCCTACCTCAGTTGGTTGTTTCTGTACAGAGCTTCCCTCACCATCATGATTTAATGGATTGTTAGGACAAAGTTCTTTTCGATGGCCTACTAATCCACACTGAAAACATACATTAACTCCTTCATATACAACATACTGAACCCTCTTCCCAATTCTAATACGCGGTACTAAGGGTCTATCAAGATCCACCTGTACACATATTCTTGCATATCTTCCACGCATACTTTGTTCAGTATGTACATCAACCTTTAGCAAAGTTCCTAATTGAGTTCCAATTCGCTGCAGGATTTGCCTATCAAAAAATTCAACTGGCAATCCTGGAAGTCTTGCCCAAACAGCAGTAGTAGCGAATTTGGATCTTGATGGGTCAAAACAAGGCTCCCACAAACGCATAGTAAGGTAATAAGGTCCTATAAACCATGGACCCCCATAAAGAACTTTCTGAAAATCTACCCTTTCATGGAATCAGAATATGAAGAAATCCGATCCCAAGTCAATACACTCCATCTTCCCTTGGGGTTTCCATAGGGCTTTTACTCTAGGATAAAGATAATTATAACCCACTGTTTTCCCAAAAGTTTTGACAATTATAGCTTGTTTCCAAGGTTTCCTAATTCTTTCCTTTTCTTGCTTGGATAACAGTATAGTAGGGATATCATCTAAATTTTCATCCTCCCGATCAGAGTCAGCATCATTAAATTCCGAATGATAAACCATGGAAAAATCCGATTCCATTTCATCATTAATCAGCATATCACGGTAAGACTTACCCAATTCAATAGAACCACCCATCTTTGGCATGGGTGTTTTTTCTGTATTGGATTCCCAAAACCAGTCAATGGGCTCTTTGTTGACGCCGTTCCGAGTACGTTTTACACTCCGTTCCCGTTGATCTTCTTCTTGTCTTGAGCGTTCTGGTCGAATAAGGTCGGTGGTTTCTATCTCCATCTAGAGTTTTTTCCAATTGTGTTTTCTATTGTCCAGTTTGGCCATTAAGGTAACATTTTTTATTTTGGCTCTTCTGATATTAAACCCCCAATCTTTTTGCTCATGATTAGCTTATTCTAGTCGACTAAATGAAGTTCTTTCTTCTCATCGGTGTCCCCCAAAGGAAATTTCTATGGGCCTTATCTATCCTCTTATGAATAGAGCTAGTAATGTAACCTACTTATATGGGACTGGCAGAGGGAACAGGCTAGATAAGAGTGCACCTACCAATAAGAGACATGGTTTTGAATAAATTTCTAGATGAAATTCCCCCATTTAATGTTGCAAAAAAATTTATTATTTGGTACACTGTTAGTGGATTTTTTAGACTTCATAAGTGGGTTAAAATGTTGACAAGCACCACATTTCATAATTAATTAAATTTTTAATATTCAAAGCTAGTATGGAAATCCCCTGCCCCAAGTTTTGTGCCCCACTTCATGCCCCATTCACTAAATCATATCACATGTCCCTTGTGGTATTGCTTGTTTGTTTTTAAGTTTTAACAAGTAATATTTATACAAGAAAATAAAATAAGAAACCCACATAAACACCAGGTTTAGCCCCAAATTAACAATAAATAATTATATATAAGGGTTAGTCTTAAATTTTAATACATTCCCCATAGGGTTTTTAGAATGAAAATATAAAATTTAATTTAATTACGCAAACAAGGAAAAACATTAAAAACTGAAAAGGGACACGTGTCATTATTTGATGGATGGGGCACAAGTGGGGCACCAAAATTGGGGCAGAGGATTTTCGTTCTTCAAAGCTATTCCTTAAATGACACATGTCAACCCTTAAAACCCACACGTGCAAATAATTTTCCAAAACGAAAACGGAGAATTACAAATAAGGGTGGTCTACCCACTAATAATTTTTTTTAGGTAAACCCACTAATATATATATATATACTAAATAAATAAATATATATATATATATACACTAAATAGTATTTGAAACACCCAATGAAATTACTAAAGGCTCCAAATCAGGATTGATGAGGAGCCAGCATTTTGTCCTTTTTTGTCTTTTCACAGTTGGTAAATTATAGAAAAATCCAAACTAGATTTTTATCTTTTCTTTACCTATTTGGTCATTTTGGTAATTGCAAGTCCTTTGAAACCGTTTTGGAAGTCATTAGTGTGGACGTATTTATTGTTGGGATAATTCCTCTTTAGTGTATTGAAAAGCTAAATAATCCATGATTGGTGATATAGAGAAAATTAATCCTTCATCTATACTAACTATTTTTTTAATTAAATAGAATTTTGCATTAACTATATAAAGAAGTGGAATTAATCGTTACTTAGTTCAAGTTCATTTAGAATGGCTTAAGACATGCAATTATTTTCTCCAATTGGCATAGACTTTAATTTTTGTGATACTAGATAAAAAATAGGTTAATCATTTAGGT